ATTACAGCAAAAGCATGCTAAGCCTCTCTTGAGAAATTCCTAACCAAGATACTTTTAGTGTCCACGTCTCAATACTATGACTCCTGAGGAGACCATAAAACTCAGAGCCTTTTTTATGAATACAGATTAAGTAATATAAAATATTCTTACCATTTCTTTCGAGACAACTGTTTTAAAGTAGTGATAACAGTCTGTACATACTAATCTCGAAGCCTTAGAGTGAATAGTGGTCTGTTTTGTCCTTCATTAATCCGAATGCCCTAGCGAAATTGTGAAGAAAGACGTTAGTCTCAACGAAAGAATAATCAGGAAACCGCTGAGATTTTTCGTTTTATTAGCAGGTTTTTCGATACAACGAGTAAATCATATAGATGAGATGAATTCGACGTATATCTTTTAAGGTGTTAAGCTTTTCGTTGAATTTTCAAACAATGATATGAGTTAATCTTATGTTTAAAATGAATTTAACACAGTATACACTGTCCTCTGATGATTCGAGTCCCGCTTGGGGGGAAATCTAAGTGAAATTGAAACTTCAGTCCACCCTGGATAAGAATAACTTTTGGTAAAGCAAAATTATATAAAATTCCAAGGAAGCGTAAGGTCTACTCATATCATTGTGGAAAAATTCAACTACTACTACCAATGCCACCTTAAACGGAATAGGTGGTGAATAAAGCTTATATAATAGCCATGAATGTTTGCATAAGAACAAAAAATAAATTTTTGGCTTCATAATCTTTCTGTAACTTGGTGCGAAAAGACATCATTTTGTACTGAATATAATGTGGGCTAGAAGCGGAGATGTGTCTAGTCGCATACAACATGCTTATGGGATCTTCTGAGCAATTCTTAAATTCAGACAATATCACAAGTTGAATACGTGCTTGCCGCTACAATTCTATGTAAATTTATACAAAATATTCAGTAAAAATTCAGGTAAGCTCAAGTTCACTCCATCGAGTTGCGATAAAAGTTGTGGGCAATAAGGAATATGCCAAAGAATGATGTAGCTGACTTCGTTGCAGACAAAAATGTAGACATACATACGTTTGCGAAAAGAATAAATATGAAATAAAACTATAGATATAAATACGAGAAAGAAAATATACATATGCAAATATAAAGAAGGCAATTGTCACAAACAGAGTGGAGAATGGCAATATAATGTTTAGATGGAAAGTAAATTTAATCAGATGTCTACAGATAATAAGATGGGATAAGTTAAGAGGCAGAAGAAAGAAGATACTAAAATAAAAAGATAGGTTAGCATAGGGGTAAATATGAATGCGGAGGATATAAAAAACATAAGACAAGAAAAGTAATTTTTACCCCAAGTAAGCTATTTTGAAGATTCTGTCTATCAGATGGTAATGACACTGATAAATCAGGCTTTACGGTGACTTCTCCGTCCTCTGCGTCTCCCACGCACTGCTCAATTTGTTCATGTTCTCTATTGCTATCACCTTCCTTGGCAGGCTTAGCTGTAAGTCCTCGTTGAACCTCATTTACAGCGGCAATTGGGCTGTTGACACTGATTTGAGTTGAAGGCCTGGAGGATGCGATATCTGTGATAACGGCGGGAGCTCCCAGGCATGCAGAAATGATGGATTCAACTAAGGCTGGAATGGGCTGATTACCTACTTGATTATGGCATGGAGACTTTTGACCTCCGACCTCTGCGATCGAAGGAGGCATTGTATCTGTGACAGGAACTGCCGCTGGACTAACCTGCGCTGCTGGTGATAATAGCTGGCCAAGGTTATGCATCACGAAAGTCTTCGAGAAGCTCGGGCAATGGCCGCTCGCAGAAGAATTAAGACTAGAGAGAGGTGGGGCAGCAACAAGCTCGTTGTCACGTGTGATCACCATCCCGTCCAGGCTGCCTACTGAGGTAGTTCGTTGGCGCTTCTTTTCATCAATGATTTTCTGCATGATAGAGCCACTGCGGCCATGGTGTCAAACGGGTGGATGGAGGAATTTCCAGGAGAGATAAGCTAAAAAATTCGTTATTTCCATACTTGACTACTAGCGAAATTGGAAATTATATATATATATATATAT